ANTCAATATTTCCCTATATAAACATCAACCGCACTGATGATGATTCATTCGAAATCGAAATATGGCCTTATTTGCAGCATGAATTCGGAAAATAAATTTATTTTGAATTTTAATAAACTAAACGTTCACCAAAAAACTTTAGTGAAAAAAAATCAAAAAAACGAACTACAAACATGTTAACGCCAAACATTCGGTAAAATTGATAGAATATTGTAAAAATTATGGTCTATTACCAACATATATATTTATATAAACTCGGTGTCAGATGTCGCCTTTGAGTCATCTGGAGCGCCGCATTTGTGTTGCGGTTCATCCTATTCCGATGTAATTAAAATTCAATTCATATGGATTTGTTTGTCATGCCTTTGCTAATGACATTCAGATATTGATTACCGGTCCTTCAAACTTGTCTAGAAATGAAATCAACGGATATAATAAATGCATTACGAAGATTGGTCATTGGATGTCGAATAACTCATTAAAGTTGAACTAAAGCAAGACGCGGTTGTTTCAAGTTGGAACATGGCAGCAGTTGATAAAGATGAACATTAATGCCATCAAAATAGAAGAAGTCAAAATATCCTTCTGTACAACAGTTTCTAATTTTGGGGTTCTTCTTGACAGCAAACTGTCTATAAAGGACCACATCAAAATAATATTTGTCTCTTGTATTACGCACCTAAGAAGTCTATATTGAGTTAGATATTTGTTAGACAGACAAAAGATGGAGGGTTTAGTCCATGCTTTTATATCAACACGGCTGCCTACAAGGTCCATTGCGATTTTTCAGTTAGTTCGAAATAGGGCTGCAAAACTTGTAGACGGTAAGTTGAAATTTGACCGTGTGACGCCAATTTTACATGAGACTGGCTGAAGATTGAGAAAAGAATTATTTCCTACATCGCGGTAATCGTGTACAAATTGTTAAATGGTTTGTCACAAAGATATATATCAGACAAATTTTATGAAAAAGAGCCTGCTCCAAGTTTGTATCTACTCGGATAATATGAATTTGCTAGTGGTTCCGGTAAGACAATTGCGGTTTGCTTCGAGAGATATTGCTGTTCCTGGTCTGACCATCTGAAACAGCCTACTGGCATCAATGAGAAGACCTGGAATTTGTCTTTCTGTGTTCAAAAAAGAATTCAACACTTTTTTATTTTCCGCTTGAATATATGTATATATATATATGTATGCTTGTATATATTTAGTTTATGCATAGTAACAATTTGTTATCTATATTGTATTGCTATGGTGATATTGTGCATGCTTATTTATTTATTTGTGACAATCAATAGTAATAATTTTGATAAATTATTTTGAAGGCGCCTTTGGAAGGTTTATACCATATTTTATATTACATTATTGTATGAATTCTACCAAAATGTTAAACTTCCTCTTTAACCTGTTCCTCAGTCATAAGCTTCCTCGGTTTTTGGACCCAATGTTTCTGTTGATATTCCATTTTTTCAAAAAAAAAGTTACACAAGTTGAATTGTTTCCAAATGTATGAACCCCGTTTAAGTTAAGCAAGTGATTAAAACAAGGCAAAAAATAAAATCTTGTGATTAATTTGATGGACCCTGGCTTGTACTCAAGAATGAACACCTAACATTACTGAACCATTGTCATAACCTTGGCTTTGACATAGATTAATATCCGACATAGATTAATATTCTTCTTCATCTACAATGTCTACAACTTTTTGTGTGATTTTCGGCAGGAAAAACAAATCCTAAAAACGATTTTTTTATCTTTACATTTTTGTTTTTGATATTAACATATCTGACAATCTGGTTTTATTGGTTTTTGTGAGATGTATCAGGCGTTGAATCAAACATTCATCTTCTTTCTCCTGCCTTACCCTTTCAGGACATTGGTGAACATCGATCTCCACCAAACCAGATCTTCAACACTTTGTAGCAGTTGAAATGTGGTGATATTCAACAAGTGACACAGGGACTTCACAAATGTTGTTTGTTATTGACCGCGATCTCTTTTTCTTGTAATCTTTCCAGTAGTTGTTAGATTTTCCGTTCTTTCCTTCCGCATGATGTGATCAAATAACTTTAACTGCCCCGTCGGATTATTTGTTGGAATTTCCTCTTTTCATAACCGGATTGTTTTAATAAATCCTCATTCGAAGTATGAGAGACCAAGTAATTTTTACAATTCTTTTCAAAAACCACATCTCAGCAGCGTTAATCTTTTTTTTACATTTCTTTAGAAATTGTCCAAGACTCAAAGCCGTAAGTTAGCACAGAAAAAATGTAACATCCTAACAGTTTTAATTTTGTTGATATTTTGATTTCACTGTTGGAGAGAATGTTTTTCATTTTAGAATATGCATCTTTCGCCATGGCTATCCTTTTTTTGATATCCATATCACATTTACAACCTAAGGTAATCAGATTTCCGAGATAATTGGAATAACAGGTGAAACAAGTTTGGATAAACATGTGAAACAAGTCAACAACAACAATCGTTTATTGGATTATTGACAAATGATTTTACAATGTGAGCTAATTTATCAACGCATTCAGTCCGACTATTTGACGGCATTTTCACTAGGCATTGTTCGAATATTTTTTATAATTTTTTTCTCAACTACACAATAATATAATATACGTTTTATTGAATGTTCTTGCAATCTTTCTAGATCTGGTACTGAACTACGAAAACTCATTTTTGATAAACCCTGAAGTTGTTTATTAATCCAATCAATTTTTAACTATTGATAAAATTATCTTGAGTGATAAAATTAAAATTTTCTATTTCGGGAAGCTAACTGTTTCATTATTGAGTGACATTGGTTTTACTTTCATCCCCACTCAGGTTTTCTAACAGTAGTAAGAAACTTCAAAATGTTGTTGGATTCCATGCACAGCATTTTGTCTCACACTCCAACATGCTGTAAAAACTTTTTTGATATAAAAGATCGTCCAAAATGAAGTAAAATCAATTTTACTAGTTAAAAAAAGGATACCTCCACTGAATACAGTGGATACATAAAGTTTTTAATAGTTTATCCGAATATCGATGCTAGCATTTCAAAATAATTAAATATCTGATTTTGGCATTCTAAGTGTATGGTGATATTATGTGTAGTGTCGTGTGTGGCACCTCCAGCGCTATTGGGCCCAGCTAATGTGAAGGTTTCTGGTTTTTCTATTACTATTATTATTGTTATTATTATTATGCCAATCAGCGGTCGTGTGTCTGAACTACTTTCTCTGCCAACAACAATGGGAGGTCATGGCATCATTTCATTAAAAGATGCGACAGAAAAAATGAGACTGTAACTTCGGAACTATTTTAAAACTAATAGCAACAAAGAGATTCAATGTCTTTATAAAGAATCAGCGATCGATTTTATCAAAGTAGATAATACGCTCTTAAAATACGGCCAAATAAAGTCGTCGCTTAGTCATTTGGAAGAAAAAAGAATTGAATGTAGCTTAAATCATGTTTTCTCGCTGCAGAGTCAAGGTTCACTAATTTTAAACATAAAAAATTTCATCAATGCCAACAACATATCCCGTTGGTCAAAGTCCACGGAAAATCTTGCCGGAGTCCTCTACAAATTTGCTAGGAAGTAAGTCCAGCAGTTGCCTACTAGTGCAAATTTGTTTAGATGGGGTAAAACGCAAAGCCCTCAATGCCCTCTCTGTGATTCTCGACAGACAAATAAGCACGTAGTTTCCAATTGTGGTTCTACATCCGCTCTAGCAAGATATACCGAAAGACACAACAAGATATTGGCCGTGATCATCAATTGGCTGAAAATATCCGCTCCAGCCAATTGCCGCATATTTGCAGATTTAGAGTCTGAGGGTACTCGCTCAATATCTCAATTATTCAACACTTTACGACCCGATATCGCCATACTTCAAAATAACAAAATTGAGATTCTAGAATTAACTGTGTGCCATGAAACCAATCTAGAATCCTCCAGGCAATACAAGAGAAATAAATACTCTAATAATTTGCATTGTTGTTTAAATAAAGACTATGAACATTGTTCAATAGTTATAAACTCATTCGAAATAACGCCTATTGGTTTTTACAATAATTTTAATTTGTCACTGTTTAAAGTTCCATGGCCGCAATCATTTAATGATAAATTGATAAACACTGTTATAAGATTATCGTATGACATTTACTGTGGGCGCCAACGATTATTGTAGTACATTTCGTATTAAAACAACTATATCTATTTTCTATTCAAGACAGCTTACAACTTGTTTTAGTTAACATTGGATATATGACTTTTTATTAATAAGTGAATTATAAGGTACATTTTTTTATTGTAAATATTTATATTTTAATGAGTTCTTGTTCGCATGATCTTTGTTCAAAAGTCTTTTGTTGACATTTATACTAACAGTCTGTTGTACTAATGGATGTTCTCGATTTTATTGGAATGATTCCACAAAATTTGACTTTTTATCTTTTGTCGAACTCTCTCGTTGTACATCGCTGTTAAATGTCTAAAAACAATCAAGATTTCACTTTGTCCTTGCTAAAAACAATCGCTTCTGTTCCCATTAATAAAAAATCCCAATCAAACATTCACAGGATTATTGAAACAGCAGAAAAGAAAATTGGATTGAGAGCTGAACGGACCAAACATCTCCTGAAAAACTTGGCTAGCCGAAGGCTTATAAAAGAAGTAAGTTTTCATATGTGTTGCAAATATCCATGTGCAGTTGTTAAAGATTTTCTTTTCGATTTTTATAATAAGTTCATTCCATCTCCATCAGCTTTCTGTTGGGTTTACCTTTCAACAGTTTTAAGTTTTAACACAACCACATTCTGATTTTATTTTTGAAACAGACTTAGCTTAGCTTAGTCTGAGTGGGCATCTTTCTGATTAGCTCATCTCATTTAATTTGCAAAGAAGAGGTTCTAATTACATATAATACATTTATCTAACTAAACTCTAAACTTAAGAGTCTAACAAATGTTCTAAACCTAACCCTGACACTAACCGGCTCACAATTAATACTAAATTATAACCCTGACACTAACCAGCTCACAATTAATACTAAATTATAAACATAAAATTTACTATACTTTTTATTTTTCTGAAATAGTTTAAGATTCACTAGTTTTTTACAAGCGGTAATAAAAGTAACAAGTAAGATATTAAATGATATTGGTCTCATGGAAGACATGTCATATAGATAAAAAATCTATCTATACATTGATTTAAGAATTTCTATTTACTTCAACCCACTAGCTTAGCGTCTAGCCTTGCTTAACACAAGGGCAAGACAGCCAGCATCAGGTCAGCAATGTCTTTAGCAAAACTGGAGATCAGTCCTTGGTTCTTCCAGCAATATTCATTTTTAGTTATCATCGTTTAATTAAAGAGACACATAAGCAAGCTCCTACAATGATACAACTAATAGTTAAACTAATGTTGGTTGATACTTTGTAGAATGCAAATGGTAGTAACATATTTAAATATTTTAAAATTTGTTACTTGTGTATTCATTTGAAGTAGTTTTTAAAAATGAGAAAATCATGGTAAATTAACGTCACATGCCCTGTTGAGTAATTTTTGTTTTTGTAATTGTTTGAATTTTTAATTAATAATACATTGAATTACATTTACAGATTGAAATATAGTACTGTGAACTTTCACCTAGGTGCATTAGGCATTAATATAATCTATTTTTAATTCTGTCTGATCTATATTTTATTTATGCTTAGTTCAGGTTATGTAAAGTGCCATTGCTAAATTCTTATGCCTAATTCAATGCTCAACAAATACTTGCTGAAATTATTAATTATTGACACAGAAGTAACATTTACACTATGTGTCATGTTAAAATTAAACTGATGTAATTTAAATTTTGTCATTTTTGAATTTTAAAATTGTATTTTGAGAATACGGCTTCATTTATGACTTGGCTATCAGTAATTACTTCAACCATTATTTCTATTGTGGGAGGAGCTTATATGTCTCTAAACTCATAAATACAAATGAATATACCTGAAAAAACCCAGGATTGATTTGGTTTTGCCAAGTTTTTCTTTCTTGACTACCTTTCTATGGTTATTATGTATGGATTTATAAATACGTTTTTGTATTAGCCTGATTAGAAATTGAAACTCAAAAACCAGGTCAAGTACTAGCTAATTTTTTTAAAGTACACATGGAGTAGCTAAATCACGCAAATATAATTACTACTTATAATACAAAATGTTGACTGTAAATCGATATTTACTTGAAATATTGTTTAAAAAATAAAATTTATTTATTTATATATTTGATACTCTTTGAAGTCCTTTTACATTTTTCGTCTACTAATAATCTTTCACAAATTTTCTCTTATATTAATTTTAATTCTCATAGTTTCTTCAAAATTGAAGCATTTTTATAAAATCCAGACATTTTTTTAGTTTGGAGAACTTTTTCCAGCAGCTTGGACAATTTGTGGGACTGTCCTAGAAAAACATGGACATCTGGTCAACTTATTTTATATGTATATATATATATTGAGCTGTGCAATGGTGTAATGGCTAAGGTGCTTGACATTGTTGATCTAGGGACCTGGTTTAAATGCATATAGATCCCCACCAATCACATGCAAAAGCGTATTATGTGTTGATTTATGTGTATGCACTGAGTGTTTGTTGTTATAATAATAATATTGTGCTTCAGTTGCTTGCCATGGTGCTTTATAAATGACATTATTATTGTATTATATCATATTATATAAATGGTTTTTGTTTTTCAGGTAAAACACAAGGGAGAGATTAGCTATAGAGTTCTTAAAACCAATTTGAATAAATATTTAAATTCGGTTGGCTCAACGATGAACGATGTGGAAGATGTACTGGAAGCAGGAGTCAGTGATGAGGAACTGCCTGCTAACAATGATGGTGCAGTGGCCAATGAGGCTGCGGATCACAATGAGGAGGGGGAAAAGAGGATAAAACGTACCACTCGCAGAAAAGTCCTGAAGGCCGTTCGGAGTCTCTGGAAATTATTAAACAAGAAGCAGGCCGTCGTCATTGTGAAGCCGAGGTCGAGAGGCAGACCACCTAAGGTTAGATCAATGTCACAAATTGTTTACGTTTTTTCTTATTATTTTAGTTCATTTTTAAATTAATGATGGATTGTAAAGTTGTAGAGTTGTGAAGCACAAATTATAATGTAATGCATTTGAATAAAAGTTTATTGAATTAAAATAGACTTGAGACCATTGAAGCAATTTTTATTAATCATTTATTCGCTACTTATTAGGTTTTCATTATCACTCTTCATTCCATCATGAGTTGTTTTCACACACATCTTACTGTATATATTCTGTTAGCTTCAACTTTATGCTTAATTAAAGTAACCAAAATAGCTTTGCATATTGAAATTGCCTTGCCAGGTAATGAGGTGATTTGATCAATGTATGAAATATTAACTTCCAAAGTGGTTGAAATATCATACCATTAGCAACATTTATACACAACTTAATTTTCCAAACCTTTCAAGTAGCATTAACATAGGAATTGTAAAATGAAAAATTCATTTCAGTAACAATAACTAATAAATATTTTTTAGTTGTGTTACTAATGTATGTCTGTGTTGGAGTAATTTGAAGCAAAAGGTTAGACCTCTTTTTATTCATGACTCGTAGTTTACCTTCCTGTAGCAGTAAGATTATCAATAAGTATTACTCTATACTATGAGTTGACTTTCTGAAAAATTAAAAATTAAAGATCGGCATTGGGCATAAAATACAAGCTGATTTTTTACATCCTAAACAAAAATTGTCAATATTATTATTGTGTAGGTTCTCCAGTTCCTTTAGAATTGAAAACAAATGCTCATTGTTTTGTTAAATAGTTGAAAGGAGCCAGACACATCTTATGCCCTGAGTGAATTTTTCATTTAATCACATTTTGTACTATTGGATTTCGGTTATATAAATTTTTATTTTTATTGACTATTTCAACTTTTTTATTGTTTTGACTGCTTATAAAAAGCTTCAAAAATATTGCAAAACTAGAAAGTAATTCGAAACAGGTCTGAAATATTTTTGTTGAGATTGTTTCCCCTAGAGAAACAATCTCAACAAAAATCGACTTGAAACATGAATTAATCCTTTTAATATCCAGTACTTCTTGGGCTAGCGGTTCTTTGACAAAAATGGTGTCGTCTAATTTGGCGCAAAAAATTGATGGTAAAGAAAACAACGTTCTACCTCGGGGAATTGGGTCTCTGGATGCTAAACGAAGATTGATTGATTGTTTCTCTAGGAGAAAAAGCTGAACTAGCATTTGTTTTTTAGCCCTCTCTTCATTCTATATTTTTTTATATTCCGTCTGAGTGCTTTTTAAACATGGCGGTAATAAGAGTATTTTTTTTATCCTGCAGCTGTATTAGGAGTTAACTAACTGAATATAAATAATTATTACATTGATTCAATTGAGCTGATTTCTTCACAGCAGAAAAATGAGTACAACCTTGCAAAGACAAGTCAAGTTGGTAAGCAACTGGAGGAAGGTGTGAGCTTCAATCAAATACAAAGCTGGTTCCTGAGGAAGTGGCCTTGTCAAGTGAACGATGTGAAAGAGATTGAGATGGCGATCAATCTGGAAGTTGAAAGTGGACGACTCATTCTCCTGCCAAACAACAACTACATCCTCAAAAATTGGAACACAACACTAAAGGACAGCAACACAAACGGTGATGACGACGACGACGAGAATGGGGCCACGAATTGGGAGAGCATAATTGTTGAACCTGAAGGAAGAAATATCAGCGGCGTTGGAAACAGTTGTTTCATTGATAAAGATCAATTTAATGATGTCGAAGATGATGATGATGAGGGCAGTGGTGATTTGAAAATTGATGAAGGCAGCGAGAGTGAGAACAAGACAGAACATCATGCAAGCACCATCATCAATGTCATCATCAGTAAAGACGGCCAAAAAGGTAGCTCGTGTAACAAAGCTGACGATGCACAGAGCATTGATAACGCCGAGAGTCTCAGCAAGAAAAAAGCAAAGAAAGAGAAGGTTATTTCAAAATTATATTTCAATACTTGCTGAATGACAGGAATGAAATTATTATGAATTGAAAGACACTTTGAAATGTGAAATGTTTTATTTCTAGAGGATTGATGATTGCTTCATATATCTTTCACTATCATGAGTGACAGTTCAAAATTTATTTTCAATTACAGAGAAAGTCTAAATCATGCCATAAGCACTACCATCACGATCCCGATTTTGAATGCGAGCCGAGTCTTGTAAAGAAGTTCAAATTAGAAAGGGTGGATGATGTGAAGTTGCTGATGTCCTCAGCGTCACCTGGCAGCAACAGCAGTGACAAAAACAACACCGGCGCTCGCAGCAGCAAGTTGCTAGGCAAGATCTGTCAAACGTGTGAGCTGATGGCTGACTGCAACCTGCAAGGCGAAGAAGAAGTAATGCTCACATGCAAAATGTGTCAAGTCAGCTGTGAGTTTGTTTTACATTGTTTTACATTCTGTTGTTTCTCACTAGTACAATAGACTGTTTATAATTCTTATAGAATGACCAAAATTTTTTCTTAAAAATGAATTATTTGTGGATATGTTGGAGGGCATTGTATAATAGGATGAAATAGTTTATGTGAAAAATAGGGACTGGTTAAAAATTCTCTTTAAAGTAGGGTTCCCAACCTGTGAGGCCAGCTTCTTTTGGGGCGGGCAAGTCAACCATTTTATTTAGAAATTTTTTACTAATAAAAACTCATTTTATTGAAAACTGTAGAACTGTGGATGCGACAAGTGCAAGGTTAGTTTTAATCACAAAAAGTTAAAATTATAGAAAATAATCCAATAAACAAAAGATGGTCATCAATTTAATTTGGGCTTTCAGAGGCTGGGTTTTGTTTATTTAGTAAGAGACCAGCACCAAAAAAATCAAGAAACCTTGCTTTAAGGGAAAATAATGTCTAAGCTTGAATAAAAAATATGTTGGTTGTTTTGGTGAAAAGCTATGGCTGTCGATGTGACTTGTTTAGGATGTCTTTGCCATGTTCAAGTAACAATTGGCCTCACTCCAAGGCTCATGTACAGAGTGTACTTCTTAAATGTTTGAATAGCTGAACAATTTTAATTTGCAGTTGATCGTTAATAACATCATAAAATAGATTTTAATAATAATAATTATAATAATAATAATAACAAACATTACCGCTATCATTAATATAATCAATTTATTGCACTAGACCATCCTTCCTGCTTGTCCTATTCAAAAAAGCTTGCCAAGAGAGCCTTGCAGTTTCCATGGGAGTGTGCCACGTGTAAGACCTGCTATGTGTGTGGCGATACTGAAGAGGTTACTCACTCACTCACTCACTCACTCACTCACTCACTCACTCACTCACTCACTCACTCACTCACTCACTCACTCACTCACTCACTCACTCGCTCGCTCGCTCGCTCGCTCACTCGCTCATTTACTCACTCACTCTCACTTTTTATTATGCTGATGATTACAATGATGATGATGACGACGACGATGATGATGACGATGGCGTCTATAATGATGAAAGCGATTAATACAGTCATGATGTTAGCAGTGATCAGGATGATGGTTAAAAGAAATGATGCCAAACGTGAATGACAAATATAATATTGAAGATTAATTGTATATAGTAAGGGCGACGTTTATGGATAATGGTGAGTAAGAAATGATGATGATTTAACATGTCGATGATGATGAGTAAAATGGTATGAAGAGAAGAATTGTTGACAGCTACTAATAAACAAATAATTGAATTTTTTAAATTAAATGAGCTTTTACTACTGGCTTTTAATCATGATGATAATGATTAATTAATTGAAACTTTTGTTCTGAAACTAATCTGCAATTACTTTGGATCTGTCATTTTTCACTAGAGCATTTATTTAAAGTTAATAAAATTTTTATTTCATGATTGAATTGTTTATTTTTCAGTTGATTAAAATTTGATGACAAGGAAATCTCAACTTTTTGACAAATATTGATGCACGATGGAGATGATTGTAAATGATTAGGATGATATTTGGTATAAATGATGATGATATAAATGTTAGCTATAAACGTTAATGATGACTATAAGTGAATGCTAACGATGACTTGATTAGAAACGCTATTGACGATTGAATGTTATGATGATTTTAAATGTCAAATGTTATGATGATAATGATGATGACGGTGACGACAACAGGCGAGGATGCTGATCTGTGATTCGTGCGACCGAGGTGTTCACATGCAGTGTCACGATCCACCCGTCTCCGTCAAGCTCGACAATCTATCTGCTGGTTAGTAACGTGCATCTTTTTATATACCTACCTATTTGCCTATCTGCCTGCATGCCTGCCTATCTACCTACCTACTTCTTACTAGGAATGCGACTGTTTTGAACCCGGATTTGGATTCAAATACAGGGATTCGGATTGAGGATCCACCATTTTACGGATCTAAAATCAACCTGAAGAACGAAAAAAAAATGTCGATCGGGGAAAAAGTGAATCAAAATATCAACAACGATTATGTAATAAACACCCATAGATATACAAACTCTAATTTATTTCAACCAGAACTAACCGAAGTAAAATTTAAAAGAATTTTTTCAGATCTGGCCACCCAGATTTTTATGCCTACTTTCTTATCTAATTGTCCATCTATCTACCTACCCACCTATCTTTTTTTTTGCACATTTTAAATATTCGTTTTAATTTTGACCATATACGCTCCATATATTGTTAGATTTTTCAATGAATTTCTGAGCTATTTATTTATTTGAAAATAAAAAATTATTTTTAAACTAGCCTTGAACATTTTTATGAAATTTATTTATTTTGATGGCTGTCCTAATCTTTATGAATATTTTAATCTCTACTTTGTTACAATTTTCTACTTTTTAATAGATCTGTATGTCTTTATATATATATATATATATATATATATATATATAAGTAAAATCTAATGTGAACCATCAAAAACAACAGTTGATTGGATGTGCTCATTATGTGAAAATGAAAACAACAACAACAACGAAAATAAAAACAACAACAGAAAAAACATTAACAACAACAATAAAACTGTCAACAAAAGCTACATTGTCAGCCCGAAAACAACAACTGCAACAGCAGCAGTGACAGCAGCTGCCACCATCAGTAGCAGCAACAGCAGTAGCTGCAACAGCGGCACTAGCATCAACAGTGTTAGCATCATCAACAACAAACAACAAATTATTTCAGCTGCAGCAGTCAAACATATTAATAGAGATATCCACAGCAATTCATACAACGGTAGCTGTGTTATCAATGCTAACAATAATCAAAGTAGTAGTAAAATTCTAGCGACAACAAACAACAACAAAACTATCATCACTGAGAAGAACAAAATAGTTAACGATCACAATAATGTAATTGATGATAATGCTATTCTGGAGGAAGACCTAGACCCTGCTACTGATAACAACATCTACATTAACAATCACAATAACAACAACAGTAATAATAAAAATAATAACATTAACAATAATAACAACAACACTAATAATATTATGACGAGTTTTAGCCATAATGTTAGCAGCAAAGACAGTAGTGTTTCAATCAGAAGAGACAACAACAACAATAACACAGATGGATATGCTGATAAAAGTAATATTAACAATAATGAAAGTAATAATACAATTAATAATAACAGCGTCATCATTAATGTTGATAATGATAATGATGGTGATAATTTTTATCCTGATAATGATGATGGCACTGTCATAGTTAAAAAAGAGAATGCAGTGGATGAATCAGGTTTGCATCAGCATTTTTTTGTTTGTTTGTCTGTCTATCTGTCTGTCTGTTTGTTGGTTTGTTTGTTTGTCTGTCTGTCTATTTGTTGATTTGTTTATATGTCTGTCTGTCTGTCTGTCTATCTGTCCGTTTGTTGGTTTGTTTATTTGTCTGTTTTATTTTATCTGTTTCTTTGTTTGTTTCTATTTTATAAAATATAATCAAGATTGATTTCTAGTTGGCAGTTTGTTACATTATAATGATTATTATTATATGTCGAGTTTGCATCCTTATGAATGCTTTAAACTTTTCATGCCACAAAGACTGAACCTTCAATACCACACAACATACATACACATTAGGCGCAAGCACTGCATCATACTCGCATGATGTACCACGGTAATTATTCTAACCAATTTTATTTTCCAAGCTTGTTTGAGTGCAGTTGAATTTTAGAAACTGCGCTATATAAATATGATTGATTGATTGATTGATTGATTGATTGATTGATTGATTGATTGATTGATTGATTGATTGATTGATTGAATCTGTACTGGACATGAAATTAATTTACATCTTACTACATCTTGAGGCCACCTACACTTGATCCGGTTCATGTTCATACAGGTGGTTGGCGCGGGCTATAAGCTCCGGCCTAGGCGAGTTCTGATTTTTCTAAAGTTTGGCCTGAACAGAGCAGTAGGTGTGTGCATGCATCTGCAAACTACTGACGAACTGCAGTCAAACTGCACAGTTTTAAACAAATTTTATCAATCCATCCTGTTGCTAGCTAAGCTGTTGACTGTGTAACAAAGCACATTTTTAAAAATTTTTTTCTCAATTATTCTTTCTAATGTTATATAATGTGAATGGATGCGATGTGAATACAAATTGAGGTTTTACAAAAAATTGTTCCATCTGGTTTCATTGATTTCTCGAGTTTGTTTCTTATAATGACCAACTCGCGTTTTGACTCGTAAAATGATAAATAAAATAATAATAATTCATTTAACGAAATACAAGACTGAATGAAAAACTGAACATAAGTCTGCGATGTGTGTATGCAAAAATTATATTCCCCAAGTTAGGTTAATTGAATATATTTCAAGGAATGACTTGACTTTCAATCTGGTGAATCACTCGGTATTTTATTTATTGTTCTTTTAAGAATACTTGCTTACCATTAGTAGTACCTTATCACAGATGCTACTCATGTTCTTTAAAATAATAAATGAAATATTTTTACTTTTTTTGTATGGTTTTTTAATTTCGCTAACAATAATATCAATATCGTTGGACTTTGTGGGATCACCTCATTAGTTTCAACTTTTTTGTTCTGTCTGATTTTTTTAAAATTTGGTAACAGTGGAGTTTAGTTCCACAGATCAGATGATAGTCGACCTACTGCTGTAGAGACTTGCTGACATGTACCTGGAAGTTATAAGATGATGGATAGAGAGTTATAGTCTGGATTTTTTTTAAAGATTTGAAACGTGAGCTGTTTATAAATATCTGAAAGTTGAATAATTCGTTTTGAAGGCTGAGGAAACATTTGATTTGATTTGACTGATACAAACAAATGGTGGTGGTCATTTCAAACTTTTAGAGGAGAAATAAATCTGATTTGTTAGAAGCTTGTTGCAAAACAATAAGTATATATTTATTTCTATTGTGTTGTTTCCGTCAATTTTTGCTATATGTTGAGCATTTATTGACCAATCACATTTACCCGGCAGGTGACACAGTTCTCCTTCCAACCCCATCGAGTTCTCCATCGCGAGTCGGAGATGGGGAGGACGAAGCAAGCAGCAGGAGATTGTTAGTCATTTTTTGTTTGTGCAACTCATAATGATTCATTTATAAAAATTTTATTGCATAATATTCTGATCACGTGTTAATATTATATTACCCTCATTCACTCCAGCCATCAGCAGTGCAGAAGTTCATCAATCGATATTCCAGTCTTTCCAAAAATTTTGTTCTCCGTTGGGAACCAGGCTCCAGATGCATCAAACTGGCTGGTAGAGGATGTCTACAACTACTTCATCAAGGCTGGATACCCGAAGCAGGCCGAGACCTTTAAAAATGAGGTGACCCATTTCTTTTCTTAATAATAATAATAATATTTTATTATTCAAGGGTGCGAACTGAACGTTCCTATGCCCTTAACAAGAGAAAAAAAAATATAATTAACCTACAGCACAGCTTATTATAACAAGTAAAATATGTACATACAATGAAAACCAATGAAAATATATATATGCTGGATGAATTCTGCACCTTGTTACATTGAGTTGGCTACACCATGATGATGATTATGATAATGATGATGATTATAGTGATGGAAGGGGATGCTGATGATGCTGATGAGGGATGTGATGATGGGGTAGATGATGGTGATAATGATAAACGTAGCTCATTTAAAAATAAATCTATTGTATGTGAATTGAATTTTTGGATTGATCAATGTTGAAAAGATTGGAATCTTAATTTTGCTTAAAAATAAAATGAGTATGTTAGACAAATTAGATACAAATTTCATCATAATTTTCTGACATAGATAGTTATCCTAAAATATGTGATAGCGCTACATGCAATAAATGAATCGAAATGATTTTGTTATGCAGGAAATTGACGGGAGAGCCTTGCTACTGCTGACCAGAGCAGACGTGTTGACGGGGATGGGGTTCAAGCTAGGGCCCGCCCTCAAGATCCACGCCCACATTCAGCGGCTCGTTGACGCCAGTTCATCATCCACGTCATCATCCACTTTTTAATCCGTTTTATTCATTCATTGGATTGAGTGATTGACTGCTTGATTATTATGATTAACAGCTTACTCCCTTGAGAGATGATTGAAATAATACCGTAACGAGGATTTGAATTTTAATTTATGATTTAAAAACTTCAATAACTTATTTATTATGTTGATAATTTTTGTAATGTTCAAATGTTATTTTATTTTATGTTGACTTGTTAATGAATTCCCCATATTTGATGCTAATATATGCATGTTAGTTTATTATTTCCAAATCCGGTATTGCCGGTATCATCATCTGCCTCATTTATTATGATACTATCACATACATTGTCCACCGCAAAAGTTAATTTTTATGTCATTAATCTCTAACAGTCATAGTATAATAATCATTTCCAGTAAAGATGTCTTTGGTACGATAATTACATCATCACCATCGTCACGCCATAGACCAGATGACCATTCATAGAAAGTACGTCATGTCAGTTAATGTAATTTTTTTCTTTGTATGGTTCTATGATGGACATGTTTTCGTTGCAGTAGTCGGCACTTACGCTGGTGTCTGTTTGTTACTCAACTTTCGTCTTTCCTTAATAGATTATTTAATAAATGCAGTATATTCAAGTTACCTGAATTTTGATCATGATTACTTTTTTTAAGCAAGCCTCTTCATTCAGCTGCTCATCTTCAAAATATTCTTACCTTGGTACATTGTCGCGCCAGTTAACTTCATGCTCCCTCCACCATCTCCAATGTTTCATTATTGAATAGTTAGTTGAATGCGTCGTCGTCAGTCACCATTTCATTCGCCCATCCTTCTTTACATACATCACAACGTCTTCACACCTTACTTATATTCCTCATTCATGTCTGTCTGAATGTTTGTATCTCTTTTTTATTCCATTTTGCCACTACGGGTGTACAATGTGAAATGTGAGCACAGATGATAATGATGATGATCATTATTTATTTATTTGTAAACTTTAACTTGTTTTGCAATTATGTGTGTGTGTGTGTGTGTGTGTGTGTGTGTGTGTGGTGTGTGTGTGTGTGTGTGTCAGTTCATTATTTTTCTCACATGTTCGTGTTCTTGCGTTTAAACCTGCGTTTGTTTCTGCATGAAATACGTACGTGTGTATGTTTGTACAGGCACGTACAGTACATGCACACAATTATTTTGACGCATTGACAGTACAGCTACTTAGCACGATTCTATCAGAGTGACATCTCTCTTTAGTTAGTTAGTTGGAAATTAAATGACTGATACTACTGTCGTCACGTGCAAGTTGTGTTTGTGTGTTGCCGGCGTTGGTTGTTGTCTCAGAAACCAAATGATGATTGGCGCGTGTCGTGTGCGGAAAGCATTTGTGACTGGGGCAAGCATTTTTTGTTTATTTGTGACAATGTCTCTTGTATCATTTTTTATGAGCTTGTCGCATTTTTTTATCTAATAATATTATTAATGTTGTTTGAATTTTATTAATATTTTATATTTATTCAAGAATATTTCATTCTTTATTTTTTGCTAAGTTTTTCGTTTATTTTTTGAATGTTTAATTAAATTAGTATTGAAAATACTATTATTTAATATTGATAACGTTCAATACTGTTAATATCAATAAAATATCAACAGATATAATTAATCACTAATAATATAGTTGTATGATTATTTGGTTGAAATATTTTCACCTGTGTAATATAAACAAAACTTGAATTCTTACGCCATTGAATTTTTCTTAATTTATGAACTAATCAAGATGAATTTATTTTAGAAGGATATTGCCAATTTAATTGATTTGTACCGTCCTGCTCTGTGTTTATTATCATCGTATAATTTCAAATAAATTGTCCTAATATATTGGGCATGATGTGATTGTATTTCAGTGGCTATCATTGCTCTTATAGTCTAACTCTTTTGTAACTAATGACACTGACGCTGGCTCGAAGTCGGTTAGATTATTATTGTCGTTATTTGCATGATTTTTTTTCAATTTCACGTGTTATCATTCTCAAAGTATTATACACCGAATGAATTTATAAATGAGTGGTCAGGTGAATTTAAAATTACTTGCTCTCGACGGATGACGTAGCTTTTTCTGCATGTTTTACATTTTATTCACTCCTTGCGTTATTTTATTTTGTTGCGAATTTGTTTGATTTTTATCACTTCAAATTGTTACCGCCATCTCGCTTCTGTTAACGCCTGTTCTGAAGTGACGTAATCGTCGAAAATATTTATTTACGAATGCGTCATCGCCTTTCTTTACTACACATTTGTATAATTTATTGCCTACGATATTATTATTAGTCATGTCATTTTACGAGGTACAATTGTTAATTAAATAAATGAAATTTGTTGATGTAAAATTAAAAGTTTGTTGTGGCTTGGACTTGTTTTGTTTGGTTTCTTTGATTGAATGGCTTGGTCACACAGTTGAACAGGCGGTATATTAAATGTTTAGTTGTTAAGTATTTTATTATAGACAGCACGTGTGCTATCATCTTGAACACCCAATATCAATTGCCAGCCTGTGCTCATTCAGTGTGTGGCAAAATTTGTGAAACCTTTTAGTAGTTGCTGTTGATCACAACTTATTATTCGTTCGTGTTGTTTTGTTTAGATTCGTTCGCTCTGGTATCACTTCTCTTACCGCCTCGTTTTCATTATTTTAAATTAAAAATAAATAAATTAATGTAGTTGCTACTTACCCAGTGGAATTGAAATATAGCCGCAAGGACTTGCATGTTTCTGAATGGGCTTCATTTTTATTTGTTATTATTAATTATTTATTTTCATTAAATCATTATTCCGCCTGTGAAGTAATTTTGTCTCGCAGTTCTTAATAGGAATAAAATGATGATGGATGACTATTATTGTGGAACTTGTCGCTGTTTTCCTCATGAGATGGTGATGACGATGCAAACGGTGATGATGATGGTGGTTACGATAATGACGACGATGTTGTGAATGGCGGTGATGATGATTATGATGGCGATTTGTGCTTTACAACACCTTCATTTTGTTGAACAGTGTTGATCAGTTCTTCTGGTGGTCGGTTGATTTTAGTTTATTTGACATCTGTACATAAATTGTTCATTAAATAAATTAAAACCAGACGAATTTCTAGGTGTGGAACATTCATAATAAAATTGTTCAAAGTGTATCATTAAATTTTTTTATTGTTTTTTGTTCGGCTTTATTTTAAAAATTTGAAATATTCGTTCATTATTGTTAAGTATCACCGAAAGCGATAAACATAGACAGCCAAAATTATCGCCGGTGCCGATATTAATTTTCAAAAGCTATAGTACCACCGTACCGATAACTTTTAGCAGTTCATTTTTAGACAAATTTAAAACATTTTAAAAAGTTCTTCAGGAACAAATAATAATGTTCATCGACATTACAAAAACAGGTGAATTAACGCTGCAATTGAAAAATGTACAACGTGCGCGCACTGTCTTCTTATATTGGCACAAAATAATAATCGAAAAGTGAATAAACTATGAAAAGCTTTATTTTCAACTTGATTGAAAAGTATCGGTATCGAATAAGGACAGCTCTTAAATGTATCGGCGTGTTACTTATATTAAGAAGTATCGGCGATACGGACATCAGAAGGTGTCGGCGATACTGTCGACGCGATACCGATACTTCGATATTATCCCCCAGCATCAACGTTCTCTAAATGATTTTGAAAGAAAATATTCTCATGCTAGGAATCTAATGTTTTAAAATTATTTTTCATTGAAACAAATTTTATTGCTAAACGGTCTGTCGTCATCGCATGTACTCCTTTTAGAGATGTAGTGTACTGAACCGTTGTTACCTAGTCACCTGACTAAGAAGAGCACGTGATTTCTGCTTCTAACATGCCTATTTTTTAGTTCATCTGTGTTAACGCATGGGGAGTGGTTATTGATTTAGACAAAAGAGTTTCTTTTATGTCGTAAGAGGCCTAATTTTCTTTATCATTTTTGAATTTTTTCTCTCGATAATTATATTAATAACCATTTAATTTAATTAATTAAAAAACAAAAAAGTAACTGAAAAATAGTGATTTTTTTTAATTTAACGTGATTTCAAAATGGTGTGCAAAAACATTAAATGTATAATCTGCATTTTTATGGCGTTTTAGCATTGACAGGCTATCTTACACCTTTGGTATTTGCTGTGAATCTTTTGAAAAGCGGAGCAGTTAGATGTTGTTGAAAATGTTTATTTCCTTAATGTACGGTATTAGGCTTACTATGTTTGCATTTTTAAAAGTTGAGTGAATATCTCCTAGAAATTGGCATTTTTCCTGCTTTCATTGTATGTTTGAGATTCTTTCGTTATAACTAAGCCCTTGAACTTGTAGGGTATGGTTCTTTCTCTCTACCTGGATTCTTGACTCTTGAACAGACTGATTTTACAATAGATGAACTTTATCAGAAAGAACACAGTGCTGACAATCACTTGTGTGTATTGCTGTGATCAATAACTCGTTTATTCAATCATTAAAATCGTTAGAATACAGCACAATAACTAATCGACAGGTAAATCACGGAATACAACTAATCGTCAATAATTAAGCTTCACTCATCAGACTAATTACATTGAGTTCTCTAGTGCTGCAGTGAGTTTCCAGCTATCACATCTTACTTCAGTGTGTAACCTCCTGAAGATCCCACTTCTAATACCAGTGTTGTAACCTCTTTGACCTCGTAACTACCAACACCGATGGTATAGCTTCAATACTCGCTTTACCTCCAACACCGAGTTGTAGCTTCTAACGATAGTCAAGAGTTCGTTTATCCGTAGATTCAAGATCTCCGATAGATGAACACAACTACTTTAAACGCAAACTAAGTTGAACGTTTATTAAATACCAGCAGTAATAGAAGTCATAAATTAATCCAAATAACTACGTAAATCACATTTACGACTTCTACGTCATCTGTTGTTCCGTCCTCTTCTTACATGTTCTCCTTCTCTTGTGTGTCTGTCCTGTCATCCTGAACCTTGCTTTGGCGTTGTTTATATAGCTATCAAACTGCTTGTAAATGAGTTACATGCCGTGTCACATGAGTTTACAACCATTTTAATTATTTACGTCTTCTAATTAATTTAAAAAGCACTTCAAGCAATTTCTAACTAAGAGTTCTTATCTCGACTTCACGTCTGTAACACTATTATTATGCGTTGGATTGTTAGTTTTGCAAAATATTTCTCACAAAGTGGAGGTTTTGCTTTGTTTAATATCCATGAATGGGTAATTTTGGAATGACCAATTTTTAATCTATTTATCATATTAAGGTTATTTCGACTTAGCTCATGGATCTATTTTTGATTTTGGGATTTATTTAATTCGGGCATTACTACTTTAGGAAAATTTGTTATCTTGTTTCATTCTTGTTGCCATTTTTCATATATGAGGTCGTTGTGATGTGGTACTGGAAGGATCGTGGGAGGATCCATGTGAGCCTGTGATGCTAATTGATCTACTCTTTCGTTATCTTCATCTTCAATTCCAATGTGGCTATGGATTCAAATTAAGATTTGATTATTTTTGTAACTTAGTATATCATGAATTTAATCTATAATACGTCTATAAAATCTATAATATGTTGAAAACTGTTGATTTGTATATGCAATGTCTTGATGAATTAATGAATTATTAGATTAGAATTTAAATATCTTTATGAAAAAGACTCAACGACGTATGATTGTTCATTAATAAATTAGATTACTAATTAAGATTTTAAAATTTGTATTGTTAAAATGATCAAGTTTGAATTTCAATTTTTAATAGAATAATCAACATAAAAAATGTGTGTTTTTTGAAATTACAAGTGTATTCAAGCATAAACGGAAATATATATTGTACATATGAGAAGAAAACTTAGTTGTATTGATATATTTCAATTTCACAGACATTGAATGGAGAATATACGCTAGATGGTTGTTGAATTGCCACAAACTGACCATACATAGGACGAGGGTACGTTCCTATGTGCTACTCTCTCTCTTTTCCTTCTCTCTCTCTTTCGGTCTCTCTTTCTGTCTCTCTCTTTCTGTTTCTCTCTCGGTCTTTCTGTTTTTCTCTCCCCCTCATCTCTCTCTCTTTCTCTCTCAGTCTCTCTCTTTCTGTTTCTCTCTCTGGGATCTATGTTTCTCTTTGTTTCTCTCTGTTTCTCTCTTTCTGTCTCAGTCTGTCTCTCTCTCACTGTCTCTCTCTTTATTTCTCTCTCTTAACAAGGGTCATTTTAAGAGGCCAGATAACGTTCCGCTCTACTACCACCAGTGTTCTTCAATCCCAGTCTCAAATAATATGTGAGCGGAAAAAACGTCGCCAATTTATTTCAGAGGCCTTTCCAACTTCGTTTTTGAGACTCATGCCACTTGGTTTTGCTGAACATATCTTCCAGGACCTAATAGTAATATTATTAACTCTTTCAATTAAATCTTAAAGGTATTAGCTTTGTACATGTATGCCTCTCGGTCCCAAACGATGGTCCACATATATTTTGTTTTCATTCTTCTTATGAGTTTAGTCTATTTTCATAGAAAGATTGCTGCAAAATGTGCAAATTTTAAAACAAAACGCATAATCTAAGAAGGATTTCCAAATTGCACATTTACATTTGATGTAATTATTATAATTGTAACTGATAAAAAATTCAACCAAGTTCAGCGGGCCAATTGGGGCCAATCGTGGGAAAGAGGGATAGATCAGGCTTGTTTTTCAGGTCCATGGTGATGTCGAATCAGTCACCATTATATGAGTGTCAAATTATTCTCAAACAAACTCAAACGTCGATAATAGTTAACGGTATAGATTTTAAAATGCGGCCATCATAATTTAATAAAAAAACTTGCCAAAATCTTTAATGAAGTCGCTAAAGGAAAATCCGTTTGAAACATGTGTACATGGAAAAATTTTTTATTCGTTGACTGAACGTTTTATGAATGTAAAGTTCAACTGTATGCATAACAAAAAGGTTCACCATGAATGATGCATGCCTGCCTAAATAAAACTTTGAGTGATTCGTTCGATCATTAAGATGTTTTTTGTAATAATACTTTTTCAGGTTAATTTTGTTAAAAGTTTGTGTTTGGTTACAAAAATGATTTATAACAATGTTACGTTTATATTTAGATTTCATATTTTTATTAATTAACATTCAAAATAAAAATTTACTACAAGTTTTATCAGAATTTATCACAGATTCAAAATTGTAAGCCAAATCACGTTAAACAAAATTTTAAATAAACAAAATTTGCACTTTCTTTCATAGAAAAGTTGAAAAATATATTTATATTAAAATTTGAAACACACCTCAAAGTGAAAGCAAATTATTATAAAAATTAACGATTAATGAAGAAAAAATGTCGGATCGTTTGGAAAGTGTACTGATTGATCTTAAAAGAATTGCAATTGCATGATGAAAAGTTGTCATGATACACTCATATGAAATATACTCTATAATTTAGCACTGTTTATAAATAATATATGTTCTTAATATCACGACGTTCGTGTTTGCGTGCTCCTACAATAGTAATAGAGTATATCACAGAACTATGAATATAAGAATATTGACTTGCAAATGGTTATAAAAGTTTTACGTATTTAGGTATTGATATATTTCGACTTCACAGACAGTGAATGGAGTATATACGCTCGATGACTGTTGAATGACCACAAACTGACCATTTATTGATGGAGTTGGGGGACGAGGGCACATGATGATGTATCTCTTACCGCTTCCAGTTTGATTAGGATACTGACCACACATCTGATAACTGACTATGGATGGTTGTGCTTTCCAAGTGGTGGCATCGAAGGTTGTGGAGATGCCGAGTTTGAAGAAACTCATCGTTGATCCTGTTTTCATTATCATTTGTAAATAATTCCTGTATGTGCTCTGATGAGATAATTTGTTAAAACACTTTTTTTTGTATGCAAATTATGTGTGATTCAGTTTTAGTTTTATATTTTGTAAACACGATTACAGATTTAATAACTTATTTTTACATAGTAAATGAATTAGAGAAATAAAAGTCTATTTCTTTTGAGATAACAAAAAATTGTTTATAATAAGATTCTTTGTCCCTAGTTTTGCAAAAATATTTCTATATAAGAATGATAGTGAATGATGAAAAATGTTTTCATAAGTTTGTTTGACACATTAAAACAACTGACTTACAATTTCTTTGCTTGTGGTTAGTGAAATCATTTCATAACTTAATTAGAACAAATTTTTTGCTCAATAGATAACCAGTGTACATTGTATATGACATAAAAAGTATGAAAAAATGATTGAACTTTGGCTATAGAATTTTTAATATTACGTGCCATGTAAACTTATTCAATTTATCACACAAAATTAATTAACTTTTTTATGCAAGATTTTTATGTTTCCATTTATTTTAAATAAAATTTGTTTTTTCACCGTATGTACTTTGACTGCTCTTGAGGACAGCATAAGCCAGTTGTATGTTGGAGCCAACGTCGATGACGAACCAGGCTGGATCGCCTGGAACAACAACAACATTACTCGTTCGAGTTCACATATAACACTTGTTAGATGTGATCAAATGTGTTGTAGTTTATAACGTTAAAAAATATTATTAACATTTTACTTTTTATCATTTTACTTTATTTTATTTTTGTAACTATGTCATTTTATGAAAAACAAGTTATTGAAATATCATCTAACCTGAGGGAGTGTTATTAGTGCAGGCACAGTTTAATAACCAAGAAGTTAAACTATCGAAGAGTCTCTCAAGATATTTACACTGTTCTAGAACGCTGGGTTCATTTACTGTCACTGTTTTGCTGCCTGTTACCTTCGATGTTGCTGACATGTTGTTCAGATGGTTAGATTCATGTATAGATGAATTGTTCGGTTGATGAATGGTGCTTGACCGATTAACTAAAACAGCCCACCATATGAGTCACACTCGAAAACATGTTTTAAAGAGTAAATAAAATTAATATATATGTATGTATATATATATATATATATATATATATATATATATATATATATATATATATATTTCATATTTTATGTAGGCTACAAGAAACGTGTTAGCTCTTATTTGAATTATTCATTTAAACAATGAAAATCCTAAAATTTACATCTAGGAATTGACCTATTGTATTTAAACTTATCGTTGACTGAAAACGTAATTACCCAAACAAAAATTTACATTATTTTTGAAGGTTCCTTGGATGAATGGAATAAATGTTAATGTGTGTGTGGCGTCAGAGGTTTGTTCCTGCCTCTAATAAAGTCTTACTATAAATATTTACGAAAAAATACTATAGGGCAATACATTCCTGGCTAATATTTCAACGACGAATTAACCAGAAAATGTTTAATCCGTGATAAAGTTATGATAAATAAATTTTGTAATAAGTTTTGGTGTACATTGTGTATATTGTTGATCATATTGAATACAAATAAGTTGTCATCAAAAATAAAAAAGTAATTTCAATACTAACGAGGAGCACTTGCACAGGACTTCTAAAATTGAAAAATTGAACTATGGTCAGTTGAACCATGTTTAAATTATTCAATTAAAGTTATTGGTTTTTTTTTGATTAATTTGCAAACAGTTTTGTCGATGTTCAATTCATTGCACTGTCATTTCATGTTTTAGTTAATTATTTATACGTGTTAATTGTAAACTGTTAACTGTTTATACGTGTATGAATAAAAATAGTTTACGTATGTATAAGTAAATAAAATTAATATAAAATCACTTCGTCAATAATTCTACAAATTAAAATTTTGTTTTTGAAGATTATATTTAACAAATATTTAAATGCTGTTATCAAAATTCAGACCTCGTAGTATAAGCATCCAGGTATGATTTGAAAAGCAACACTTCGGAAATCAAAGAGCCGGCAACTAGTTGACGACCCGGCAGTCACGAAATTGAATCCATGGCAGTCCACCTCCATACACTCCGATGCACACTCCAGGCAGCTGATGTTCCCCAGAGACGTTGACGAGTTGTGAACACTGCACATCATTTCAGTTGCAGACAAGGGCGCCACATAATTTATCGGGATGAAGTTGTAATCTGCCTTCGCCGAGAGGAAAAATAAAATCACAAGATGTAAAGCTTTCGTCATCAGCACGGCGCTCATGTTTCGAAATTAAGTTCGTGCGCAAACTTCTCGTCGTTTTTTGTATACCCAAACAATTTGCGTAAAATTGCTTCCAGCCTCTAAATTTGCTGCTATATCTGTGCTATATCTGAAAATATTAAAAAACTGATTAATTTACCTGACGAAAACAACTCATAAAATGACAGTTTTTTGCGTAGAGCGTTGTGGATTATTATTATTATTATTACTACTACTACTACTACTATTATTATCTTAACATTTATTTTAAAATTGATTTGAAAGAACTCTAAACTAAAGTGCGTTGATGCACTTATATTTAAATATATGTCGGTACAAGACTATTTATCATATAAGTATGTATTTCCATATAAATAATAGTGTATATATATATATATATATAATATACATATATATTATATATATGTATATAAATATATATATATATATAACAGTGTGCATGTAGGTTGGCTCATCATTCCATACGTCCCGAAAGACGTGCAGTCATTTTATGATCTTAGCACTTTAATTACTCTTTATGACGGTAAGATGGTTGTAATTAAAATTTTTTGAATGCATTTTGATGAAAGATGCAAAGATGCAAAAAGTTAACGAATCACACTAAAAACGCACCAGCCATTTTTATCATCATTTCAAGCAATTTTCTTATTTTTTAATCGTTTGTTCTGAATGAAAGAAAGTTTGATGAGAAAGAAATAAAAAGATACTTTTTGAGTTTGTAATTTTGTTCAAACCATACAACGCGCTTTAAGCAAATTATATATATACAACTTTCAAACTAACAAAAATTTTTATTGTAATCTTATATTTGCGAATGTATGTATTCACGTGAAATGGTCATGCCAGCTGCTCTTTCTTAAAATGTTTACATCTTACGTCAATAAAACTAAAAAAAACTTCGTTTAACTCATGCAGAACTGAAATAATTGTGAACTTCTGGAAATGCCAATTGTTTTATTGGCTACAAAATGGGTACCGAAGCTACTTCAATGTCATTATCAAAAACTTTGGTGATACGAACATATAATATTTGGAGTATTGTATATATCTTGCCTGCTTGCGTACTATTTAGATTTTGTAAAAATGAAATTTTTTTACTGCCCACTAGTTACGCTTACAATGCAAACTTTTCACTCAATAAATATTTTCACCAGGACGTTCCAGGTTATTGTCATGCTTTATCAATATTTCTGCGTGTGTGCGTGTGTGGGTGCGTGCGTGTGTAAATTTTATTCAATAAATATTTAATTAGTTTTTATTTGTTTAACTGCTTTTAATTTGTTAATCGTTTGTAAGTTGACATAATGAAAAACTCAATTGTTCGCGCACAAATTTCTATCGTGTCTCCGTTCGACTGGCGCTTTCAGTTGGTATACATGTATGTACTGTTTGTATCTGGATGTTTTGTTCGTTGAAATAAAAAATACAAATTTGTTGGGCTTTGATTTTTTTTCACAGACTTAACCGAAAAACAATTTTTTTTAAATTGAACAGTCTTTTCATCACCCCTCCATATAATTTTCAAATGCAACTGGCACCAAAGCCAGCATGTGACATCTTTTATTCTACAATGCCTCGTAGACGCGAGGTAACCTGCTTTATTTAGAAACAAAATGACATTCTTCTTTCAAACGTGGGATTTATTTTTAAAATTATAGCCGTTAATGGTAACAACATTTTTATTCTCCCCGATAAGACGATCATTCGTTTTCGTTCCAGAGAGAGAGAAAGAGAGAGAGAGAGAAAGAGGGAGAGAGAGAAAGAGAGAGAGAGAGAGAGAGAGAGAGAGAGAGGGAGAGAGAGAGGGAGAGAGAGAAAGAGAGAGAGAGAGTTGAGAGTTCCCAAAAACTTTTTGCTATTTTGAATCTGTATTCTATAGGGCGATAAAAAAGTAATTCATTTAAAAAGATGTTGATACATTCAAAATATGTTCCAATATTTTGGATGTCAGTTTACAAGCAATTTGAATTTAGATTTTAATTTTTGTTATTCATACTATTCTTTATTAGATACTTGTGTGCATCCGTAATTATACAAAAGGTCTCTATATGTATTTGAAAAAACACAAACACACACACACACACACACACAATTATATATAAATATATATAATAAACATACCAAACTTTAAATACAATACATAAAAACATAAAAATACAAACATTAAAAATACAAAAACATGAACATGAAACAACAATGAAAAATACATACATAATAATTTCTCTGCAGTACTATTTGATGGAATCCCTCGAGAAATGCATTTTATTCCATTCAAAGAAAGTAGCTGTTGTGCTTCGTGTGGCAATGTAATTAAACAAAAACATTAAATACTTTTTACTATGTTTAACTGGGTATGTTTTGTTTTTTTGATTGACTGTTTAGCTATGGAGACAGAATAATCATCAAGACAATACAACGCTGTTTCATTCTCCACACACAACGTATCCTATCGATTTATAACTGAGTCATTTGTCTTCTTATACACCTGTATGTATGTATGTATGTATGTGTGTTTGTGTTTATGTATGTGTGTTTGAGTTTTTGTATGTATGTATGTATGTATGTATGTATGTATGTATGTATGTATATATGTATGTATGTATGTATGTATGTATGTATGTATGTATGTATGTATGTATGTATGTATGTATGTATGTATGTATGTATGTATGTATGTATGTATGTATGTATGTATGTATGTATGTATGTATGTATGAGTGACACTGAACCGTCAAACATCAAGTAACAAATGGATTAACACTTTGATTTGTCGTTAATTGCACATGTCGGCATTCAGTTGGATATTTTCAAGCACACAGACACGCAGGAACCGCTGCAACAAGCACGAAATGTGGTTGGTTGCAAAAAACAGTTCCCTGCTGTCACCTGATCTGACACTGATCCTTTTGCCTATTTCCTTAAGAAATTTAAGGGTGTTGGGGTCCATCGGGCCGAGAACCTCGATGCATATTGGCAAGAATTCCATCGAGGGGAGGGCATTCCCATATTTTTTCATTTTCTCGTCCGCTGCCCTGGCCGCGGCCAAACCGCATTCTTTACTTGTCAGGTTTACGTATCGTTCGGCGAGGGTGCCAGGGACCGTAACATCCCACGCCAAACATCTGCCGGCTCTCCAAGGTATTAACGTGCATCCGTCCGGTCGCCTACCATCATGCGCAGAAATGCCGGATGGTTCCTTGAGAACCGGGATTGAAGCCTATATGTATGTGTATGTATGTATGTATGTATGTATGTATGTATGTATGTATGTATGTATGTATGTATGTATGTATGTAAGCATGCATGTATGTATGTATGTATGTATGCATGTATGCATGCATGTATGTATGTGCATATGTATGTATGTACGTATGTATGTATGTATGTATGCATGTATGTATGAATGTATGTATGTATGTATGTATTTTTTTTTATTTATTTATTTTTGAAGAATGACCAAAAAAGATAAACTTGTGGATAGGCCACCCTTAACTAAAATTTCTAACTATAGATGTAACAGAAATGTCATGAAATACATACACATAAACTCACGCTCACACATACTTACAAACACGCACCATACTACAATTCATATCACAATACTGTTATGCAGAACTGAAGAAACAGAATCAATGAAATGAAATGATCTGGAAACCAAACATACGCTCACTTACACACTCAAATAAATAGACACATAAACAAATATGGCCACACACCATACACATATAGGGCGTGGCCACATGTCTCAGGGAACAGCCGAGTGAATGGACATCTTACACATAGATATGTTCCCCTCCACATACACCCCCGCTGTACCCTGGTTAACGCTCCTAGAATACAATATTTATATACATTTATACACATATCTACACATGCATACACGCACACACACACACATAAACACGCACACTCACCCAAACACACACACGCACACTTACCCACACACACTCTCACGCAAGCACTCCCGCACACACTCAAACACACACACACACACACACATACATATTTCGTCGAACCTGATCGAATCTCCCAGATTGTTAACGACCCGGCAGACCCAACCAAGCCCAACATAATTCATAATCCTAAAACATGCTGCCTGAATACACAGATACATACATACGTATAAAAATTCATAATGATTTAAATATGAAGTATATTTACTACAATTACACATTAAAAATATCATTTATGGAAACATGAAAACCGTATACACATGATAAGTTGGCCAAATGATAAGAAATTCTTGTTCTAGTAAATAATAAATGTAAATAAATGTTGTTCAAGAAAAGGTGACTATGATACATACAAACAAAAACACACCCAACACACACCTGACACACACACACTCACCCACGCACATACACATACATACAAAATATGATTGCCTTTTTCATATCAAGTTGAAAAAAAAGTATTTTGCTCAATCAGAAATTTTTTGACTTTGTTTTTAAATAAATGTTTTTGACATATATTTTTAATTTCTGTGTTAATAATTTCATCCAAAACTTTTGGACCAGAAATTTTTAAGCTATTATTTATTATTTTCAATCTAGAATAACTGGGATAAAAAGTTGATGCATTCCTTAACACTTTAGTTTGGATCGAGCTTCTTAAGTTGAAGAAATGTTTAAAAAACAACGGGAGTTCACAGTGTACATATTTATACATAAAAAGAGCTAAGGTATACAAGTGGATATTTTTAACATTCAAAATTTGTAAAATATTGTAATAATTAGAAATATGGCAGCGAGGATGAAGATTGAAAAAGAGACGAATGAAACGGTTTTGGCTAACGGAAATATGTTGCAAGTGTAAATTTGGACTGTTTCCCCACAGCAAATTACAATACGTTAGGTTTGGGTAAATAAGGGTATAATATAATTCTAATAATACACTTTTTGTTATTTTATTTTTAATTTTATATAATATACCTATTGTTTTATTTATTTTTTTTGGAAATAAAATTAATGTGCGAGTCCCAGGATAAGTTATCGTTGATGAAGATACCTAAAAATTTTGTTGAGCTCGATCGATGTATAGGTTTACCATTGATTTGTATATTTAAGTCTGTGATACAATTGGTTAGTATTCTTGGTCCAAATATCATATATGTGCACTTTGTATAGTTTATTATTAAATCATTAAAAGTAAACCAATTGGCGATGGATTGAATTTCATTGTTGATCTTTGTTAGGTTCTTTAGTATGAAAGTATATAGTCGTGTCATCAGCAAATAATAAAAATTTAGCTGATGTAGTTATGTGGCATAAATCATTTATAAATAAGGTAAAAAGTATTGGTCCTAATATAGAGCCTTGTGGGACTCCGCAGTTAATCTGGAGCCTTTCAGATTCATAGGTTTCGATTGAGACATTGTTTTCTTTCTCCAAGGTAAGAGGAAAACCATCTATATGCAATTTCTCTTATACTGTATGAATAGAGTTTTCTTAACAGTTTTTCATGGTTTATTAGATCAAATGCCTTTGATAGATCTATAAAGATTCCTAATGTGAAGATCTTTTCATTCAATTTTTCCATCACTCTCTGCGAAAATTTTACTATAGCAAGCTCCGTTGAGTGGTCTGCTCGAAATCCATACTGACTTTCATGAATAATATTTTAAACTGTATAAAAGATTTTAATCTCTGGCACATCAATTGTTCTATAATTTTTGAAATAGGCGAGAGAAGAGAAACAGGGCGGTAGTTAGATATATCTAACCGATCTCCTTTTTTGTAAACTGGTATTACTTTAGCGGTCTTAAAGAATTGAGGAGAGTAGCCCTGTGAGAAAGGAAGTTTGCATATGTATGTTAAAGGCTTTATTATTTCATTAATCATCTGTTTGATTAAGTAATTACTTAAGTTATCCTGAGAAATACTTGTTTTGTTTTTCATATTTTTAACTATATTTAAAATTTCTATTTCATCAACTGGTCTTAAAAAGATGGATTGACATATTGAATTTGCAATTTTAAATTTATCATGATAATGTTTGGGTTTATTTTGATTATCCAATAAAGTTTTGGCAATGTTGATGTAGTAGTTGTTAAATTCATCACATATTTCTTTTTTATTTTCTATTAAATTATTATCAATTTTTATGCTACTTATGCTAAATGTTTTCTTTTTTTTATTAAGTATATTGTTTATAATATTCCATTTTTTCTTTGCATCATTTTTGGCGTCTAGGAACTTTTTATTAAAATATTTATTTTCGTTATGGCGTTTAAATGTTGTAAATTTGTTTCTGAACAGTTTATATTTATTTAAATTTTCAGTTGTCGGATTAAGTAGATATTTCTTGTACAATTTATACTGTTTATTCGACATTTTTAAAATATCATTTGTTATCCATGATTTTTTGTTTCTAGGTTTATAAGTTTGGAAAGGAGCAAACAGTTCAAGTGAGTTATTAATTATGTTGTAGAAGGATAAGCAGGCATTATCGAGATTACAATCATTCATTAAAGGAGCCCAGTCAGCTGCTGCAAGATGGGTTTTAATTTGATTTACAGTTTTTTACTTAAATTTCGCTTATTAAGAAGTTGATGAGAACGGTTTAGCAGATTTGGATTATTAGATATTGAGTATATAAGAAAATGATCGGAGAAGTCTGAGATGATTACTCCACTATTAAAAGATTCAGACGAATTTGTGAATATATTGTCAGTTAGTGACGCTGTAGAAGGAGTAACACGAGTAGGAGATTCTATTAGCGGAATATAACCATAAGAGGACAATAAATTTTCAAACATTAATATGTTTTGTGAGTTTACGTTTAGCAAGTCATTGTTAAAGTCGCCAACAATATAAGATTGTTGAGTTGGCTTTAGCGCACCCAAAACCAGTTCAAGTTTATTTAAAAAATAATTAAAATTAATGTCTGGCGGACGATACAAGGCAATCATATTTGTTGACTTATAGAAAAAATTTGATTTTATATTTATGCGTAACATGTCTACATATTCATCATTAAATACACTATCATCACAAACAGAGCAATCAAAACCACTTTTTACAAATATACCAACTCCACCACCCTGTCCAACATCTCTATTTTTATATATAAATTTATAATCAGGTAAGTTTATGCAATCAGCCGTATTTTCATTCAACCAAGTTTCACTTATCACAATAATATTAAAGAAGTTATAAAATTGATCAGATAATATGTTAAGTGCTGACATTTTATTAACTAAGCTACGCGCATTTATATGCAAAATCGATATATTGTTTTGAACTAAATGTAATTGAGGTTTGATTAAATTATTGATAATAATTTCAGAAGTAAAATACTTATAATCTTTAAAAACAGAGTTTAATGGATAGTTATCAGTTGTTGCCTCCATGATTGATGTTGATTGTTGTTGGCCGAAAGTTTCCATCTTTCTTCTTACTTGCTGACATGTTGTAATCCCACTCGCGCAAGAACGTGTGCATGGGCCAAATGTTAGGATTAACCAGTTTCTCACGTTCATTCAAAGGTATTATAATTTTGAAAGCCGTCCATTCCGTTGTTTGTCTTCTCTCTACCAAAGGATCATCCGGATTTTTCTTACGGAGTACAGGAAAGCATTGTAGAAAAGCTATGTTGTTTTGTTTCAGATGGTCCTCAATTATATTTTTGTTGCATGTACTGACATTTCCGATATAATAGGTAATTTTTTCCTCTATTATTTTCGACGCTTTCAATGGACAGCTGATGCCAGTACCGTAGGTTTTCATTTGTTTTGAAGCTGGTTTTGACGCAGGTTTTGGGGATGCCGGTTGTGGAAAGGTTGACGATTTTTTTCGTTTCTTACTTCTCACCACTTGAAAACCATCATTCGATTCGACGATGCACTCCATGATGTATGTATTATTATTATTATTGAAACATTTATGAAGCGCTAATTAAACGAATCTCAAAAGCGCTATCTAACAAAAACTGAACTTAGTAACATAATTGAGATAACAAACGAGAAATCGTAATGCATCGTACAGAAATAAGATTCGGAGACTCGTTGTTGGAATCAACAGAAGATTTGAAACATCGGATCTCAGGTGTGCTCCAGATACTTTTGAAGATCTCTTTTTGAACCTGTCAGACAAATAAGATGGAGCTAGACCGATGATAGACTTGTAAACAAGTGTTGAAATTTTGAACAACGCTCTTTTGTCGACGGTTAGCCAATGAAGTTCCTTCAATATTGGAGACACATGGTCTGTATTGACTGCAGCACAGCCATGAATCGATCAAGTAAATCATAAAACAAACTGTTGCAATAGTCGACGCGTGAGTGCACAAACGCATGAACCAACGTCTGCAATGTGGATGTATCTAGGGATCGTCGAATTTTATTGATTTTACTGATTTGAAACATGCATTCGGCTGAGAGCTTCTTAATGTGTTGTTTCATTGACAAACCTGAATCAATTATGAAGTCCAGATTAGATGCTGACTGACAAAATGGGACGACCTCATCATTAAAAGTTATTGAATCTATGTCTATTCTTGAGAGTTGCTGTCATGTTCCAATTGGTAAAAAACAGTCTTGTTTTGGTTTAGTTTTAGACCATTGTTTTGCATCCACTCATTGACCCCAGACAAACATTTAACCAATTTGTGCAATTTTGATTCAAAAAAATCTGATCTGCTCGTAACAAGAATTTGTAAGTCGTCTGCAGAAGCATGACCTGAAAAACAAAATGATTCTATTTTTTTTAGTACTTCAGATGTATAGATCAGGAATAGAATAGGCCCTAAAACCAAACCTTGTGGCACACCAGACAACATAACATTAACCTCAAACAATTTACCACCAAATGATACCTGTTGTGATCTACCTACCAGATACGACTCAAACCACCTCAGAACAGCACCAGAGATTCCAAAACTGCAACGTAGTCTTTTTAAAAGTACTTTGTGATCTGCGCAATCAAATGCAGATGACACATCAAGAAAGACTAGCATTGCCACATTTTGTACATCAATTGCCCCGTACACTTCTGAGAAAACTTGCAAAAGAGCAGTTTCAGTCGAATGGTGCTGACGGAATCCAGATTGAAATTTCGGCATTAAATTGTTATTGTTCAAGTAACTGAGTGTTTGCCTGGCAACCACACGTTTGATAACTTTGGATAGGAAAGACAGATTGGAAATTGGTCTGTAATTCCCAACATCATTTTCGTCTAGGTTATGTTTCTTCAGCAGCGGAGTTATGATAGCATGCTTGCAGCTAGAGGGAAACTGTCCCACATTCAAACTGCTGTTTATCAGGCAGGCCAAAAATAGTGCGAATAGTTTTATAAAATTTTTTAATACGTGAGCAGGTATTACATCTTGTTGACACAACTTTGTAGATGAATTTTGAACTAACTGTATTACCTCCTTTTCAGAAACCATAGAAAACGTTAAAAACAGATTATTATTGACACCTGATTAGAATTCTGCCAAGCTCGGTTGAGCATCGTTGTTGACACTATCTCTCAGCTTGCTTAACTTTTCATTAAAATAGCACATAAATCGATCATGTGTTAGTAAATCAATATCCGAGCAGGATTTATCGTTACGACCCCTACAGAGAATGCTGTTCACAACCCGCCAAAGATTTTTTGGTTTCATATTATTATCATCAACAATTTTTGTCCAATACTGACCACGTTTTTTTAGAAAAAAGTTTCGATCTACTCTTCAAAGCAGTCTTCCATTCATCTTGATGAATCAACTGTAAACTTTTTCTGAACCTTTTTTCCGTTTTCCTGCATAAACGCTTGGCTAACCTGCAATCATTATCAAACCACGGAGCTATACGAACGTTATTGGTGGTCACTGCACGAATAGGGACAACTTTATCAGCAATAGATTTTAACTCGTTATTAAATAAATGCAATTCCTTGTCTACCTCATTGCTTTGACATGATTTGGAGACTGGAGATTCAAGCACAAGTTTGATGAAGTCATCAACATTCATCTGATTCCATATTTTAGAAACTTTCTTAATTCCAACCAAATATCCTCGAGTCATCGACAGTTCAGCCCAAATAAAACTATGATCAGAACAAATTCCACTTGGATGGACTAAACAATCATGAACTGGAAAATCCTCGGAGGTTACTATCAAGTCTAGTGTACCACCACGTAGATGTGTTGGTGCTTTTACACGATTGATGAGTTGAAAATTATCGAAGATATCATTAAAATTAGCAGCATAAGAATCATTTGTCTTTTCAACGTGCACATTGAAGTCCCCGGTTAAAATAATTCGAGAACTGAGTACTGTAATGTTTTCCAGAATAGAAATCAGTTCTTTAAAAAACAATCCAGACAGCTGTTCAGAGCCCGGTCTTTAAAAAGCAAACAAAATAAACTCCTGACTATTAAATGTAAACCTGACCGCCAAAACTTCAAATGTGGTAACTGTAGGTAAGGCTATTTTTTTACATTTTTAACATAGACAAAAAAATATTATCAATCCACCATGGAGAGGGTCGTGATCTCTTACACAAACTACAAAGCGGTAACCTGGAGGAGTAAATAACGCAATGGAGGGATTTTCTGATGAACCATGCCATGATTCAGTAACAACAAAAATATCCAAACCATCACTGATCAAATTGTACTTTGAGTCAATCCATTTTATATTTAATAAACCCAAATTTATTTTAACCACACAAAAATTATTATTAGTCCGATCATTTTCAGTTTTACCAGTATTTCTACCAACAGCACCACCTTTTATTACATTATTATTACCTACCTTTTTACGATCATTAAAGCCACCACTTTCATTACGATCATTACCATTGAAATCATTGCCAGTGCCTTTCATCATTAAACATTTATTACCGTCGAGAGAAGTATCCAAAGAATCGTTACCAACAACCCCGAGCGTCAGTCTACGATCACCAAAATCTTCACCACCAACAACATTACAATTATTATATCACGAGATTAAAGGGCACGCTGATGATATCAAGGCCGAAGTCAAAACAGTCCAGACGACAATAAATGATGCTAACGATGCAGTCGCGAGCCGACATCAGATATAGTTTTTGTCAGTTTCTCTAATACGGTAGGCATCTCATCTGGGAAACATGAAACGCAAATCTGCATGTCATCTGCGTGCCCATGGCAATAATAACCATCTTTATTCAGTAAACCCAATATCTCTGCAACGTACAAATTTAAAAAAATCGGTCCAAGAACAGATCCTTGAGGCGCCCCTGACGTAAGTTTCATTGGTTCCGAGAGACCACCTGAGTAAGAAATCTGCTGAGTCCGACCAGTTAGAAATGATTCGAACTACGTTAACGCAATCTTATTTAAACCATAACAATATTACAGTCTGTCCAGCAGGATTTTATGATTCACAGTATCGAACGCCGAACTCATGTCCAGGAATGTCAACAAAGTTACTTTTTACATTAACTGCTGAATAAACATGGGAGAATATATCCGATAGAGCTGTTTCGGTCGAATGAAACCTTCTGTATCCAGATTGATGCAAATACCATTTTTATTTATATGATTATTTAAAACTAACTCAACGGAACGTTCTATAATTTTAGAAACGAAAGACAAATTTGACACCGGCCTATAGTTTATCAGATCTGATTTATCTAATTCTGTCTTCTTTAGAATTGGCGTGACAATTGCATGCTTGCAAACCTGTGGCATTACACCCTTCGTTAAGCACATGTTGATTAAGTCCGTTAAGTAAACAATAAAACAGTCAGCATATTCTTTGAATACATGCGTCGGTATTGGGTCGAGTGAGCATGACTTCGTAGGTGACGAATTAACAACTTTAGATATCTGTTCTTCAGTCAACACCGGAAACGATTCGAGTAGAAAAATAATATTAGTAGAAATAACTGGTACCACAGGCGGAATTTGGGACCGCCTTCAACCAAGATGATCCCAACTCACTTTTTACAGCCATTATCCTGGCTTTATCAAAATTTGATTGGATCAAATCCAGCAGCTTAGCAACTGAGCTGCTGATAAATGGAGCGTTCCACTCCTTTTGAGAGCGGGTTTCGATACAAATCCCCGCTCCGTGGACGGTCCGGAACCCATCAAAAACTTGGGTTCTGAAATTGTCGGAATATATTTTATCCCTGGGCAACAACAAATTTTGGAGAGGAACCGTGGCAGCAGCAGAAGCCAAGAAGGCAGAAGGTGCTAAATCCATCACGGTACCTAAACCTAAGCCACCAACCGAGATGGGCAGGGTTGCCTGTAACTAACCTTTCGGGTCAAGGGAAACGTTGAAAATCGATTGGAAGCCGTCACGGAGAGTTTGATCAAAACATTGAAACATCAAATTATCGAGGCTGGGCGACGTTCTTAAAAAAAAGTCAAACGAGGCAAGTACATCGCGTGCAGCAGCAAGGTCAAGGCATCATGCTTTGAAACTACCTTCAGTCTAGACATAACAAATTTAAATTTTTCCAATTTTTCATCCCAGAAAATATTACGTTTATTGCAAGGAAATAGGAAAGAGCCTAGAAACTCGATGTCATTTTTAGGAAACTGTTTAATTTTGAAAGAATTTTCTATTAAGTTTGGATGATTTGTGAAGAATTCGCATTTTTTAAAGTTTAATTTCAAACCCAAATCAGTCTCACGATCCACAATTGAATTCAAATTCCTCAGCACATTTTCAATCTTTCTACCAAGTGAAATGTCATCCAAGTAAGCGACAATGAATTTGGATTCCAAAGACTTCAACAGAGGGTTGATTGCAAGAGAAAAGAGCAATGGTCCCAGTGGGTCACCTTGCTGAACTCCTTCCTCTGACAAAATCTTTGTGCCACTATAAGACAGAATGGATGGCTTATCATAAGCCGACAAACAAAAGTTGTACAACTCTGGCACAACCGACTTCACCGTGAGCAGCAAGTGATCCCGCCTTAGAGAGTTAAACGCATTGGAAAAATCCAGTTTCAAAAAACATTCATCATCATCCATGTTATCAACAAAACGTCTAGCGGCGTGAATCGCTCCCTCTGCGCCACCGCTAACACCAACGCCCACCTGCTGAGGTTGAAGCAGGGGGACAACTCTGTCTTTAATGATGTGCATGGCACATTTCGCAGCCAAACGCCTCCAAACACAACCAACTACAATTGGCCTGATACCCCCATCTTTTTTTAACAGAGCAACCAGTCTTCCACCAAACAAAATAGGAGCCACCTCTGGCGGACAGTTCCCGCTTAGAATCAGGTTGACAAATGAGGCAATCAAATTCACTAGATCAGAAGAGTCTGCTTTTGAAGACGTAACGTCTCTTAGATGTGCAGGCGTGAGACCATCTCTGCCGCCAGAAGTTCCCTTAGGAAAAGACTTTAAACAATGCAGCACCTGTTGTGAATCAACCGTTAAGCTTGAAGCCTCTTGGGGTAGACATTCCTTTCTGTTTGAGGGAGCGTTTGGATGTTTCTCCCTTAGGAAACCTATGGTTTCTTCCGTAACCGGTGCAACTGTATCTGTTGAAGACAATAGCTGTAGCGCGTTTCGAATGTTTCCTTTTTCAATCTTGGATCTAACGGATGAAATCATTTTAGCTAGCTTCGGCTGAAACTTTTTTGCTATACTTAACAACAGGCTCCAAGGATTTCACCATCCTCTCCACCGAACAACCGCCAAATGCATCCAATCTTTGGGTAATAACACCTGTTGGGTTGTGACGTTTACCCCCTCGAGGACTCCTCCTCAGAACCATTGAGGACAGAAACAACAGCTTATAACAACTTGGAGGCGAAAGCAGTTTTTCGATAATTTCTTTCAAAACCTTGGCCAACACCTGACTAAATTTGGGTCTGCACTGCTTGGGAAGATGATCATGCAAACAAAAATTGGTAGATCTAGAAAAAAATTCATCCGCCATGTCGCATTTTGGGGCAAGCACAACATGATTTTTCTTGATAGAAAGATTACCAGCATTTCCCAAAGACATACGTTTTAGCACCACCGGAGGCCTGGCGAGAGAGCCGGGACACTCAGAACCCTTAACTTTTCCCCCATGACGCATAAGTGCCCCATTTGGGCGGGTACGAAAATGCATATTGCAAACATGGCAACGGGTAAGACCTGAGCCAGTTGCTTGACTAGGAGACATAATGCAGGATGGAGCGCCTGAACGGAATGGTTAAACCAAGGTTAACAAGTCAAGCCAATTCAAATATTGGCGTAGTTAAAACCAAGTTAAAATCAAACAACCTAGAGGGAACGAAAACAAAAAATGGTTTGTTTTCGTTCAAAACAAGCAAAATGGAATTGTGGTGTAGAAAAACGTGTACCACTTGATAAAAGGGGAAGCCAGGTGTGAGTGTGGTATAGAGGACAGATACCACTTGACCAAACAAAATGGGAATGTGATTTAAAAACGGATAACAAATACCGCTTGATAACAAAATGGGAATGTGGTATAATGGACGGATACCACTTGGTGATGGCAACAAACAAAGTGGGAATGTGGTACAACAACGGATACCACTTGATGGAAAGAGCGAACCAGATGGGATTGTGGTATAAAAGACAAATACCACTTGATAACAAAAAGGGAATGTGGTACAGAGGACCAATACCACCTGATGAAGGCAACAAACCAAATGGAAATGTGGTGTAAAAAGCGTGGTACAAAAATTTTATTTATTTATTTTTTTTATTCATTTTTTTCCTTCCCTTTTCTTTTCTCTTTTTTTTATTTTTATTATATTATTTATTTATATGTATTATTATTTTATTTATATATTAATTATTTTGGATACCCCTTGGTTAGGGCAAAAAACAAAGTGGGAATGTGGTATAAAAATACCACTTGATGGAAAGAGCGAACCCGGTGGGGCTGTGTATAAAAGACAAATACCGCATGATAACAAAATAACAAAAAGGGAATATGGTATAGAGGATTGATACCACTAAATAAAAGCGACAAGCAAAATGGAAATGTGATATAAAAAAAACGGATTTTATTATTTTTTTTCCTTCCATTCTTTTTTTTATTTTATTTTTATTATATTAATTATTTATATGTATGTATGTATATATTTTATTTTTTTTTATTTGGGGGTTAGCTTGGTGAACTGAGCGCTGTGAACAAGCTATGAAGAGAAACAAGGGCCATTATGGAAATAAGTAGTGAAAAATACAATGGATACTAAGGAAATATTAACCGAAAAAATTCTCAACAATGAAACGCACCTGCGAAATTGTTTACAAATTACTAATATAGTTGAGTTTTTATAGACACTGATATCATCATCACGCGACTCATTGTTTGTGAGTTGGATATGTTCTTCATTGTTAGCACCGTTAGATTCAATTGTTTAAGCAATGAGTTCATCATCTCTCACCATTGTCACCATTACCATTGTTGTTGTTGTTGTTACTATTTTTGCCATTTTCTTCACTGTTATTATCATTATCATCACCGTCTGTTCGTCAACATCATCGTCGTCATCACATTCATCATCGTTTTCATCATCCTTAGCTTAACCTTCACAATAATCATTATCATCTTCATCCAAAATGAAGATTGGGATAGCCTGCCATCGTCAGCCGCGGAAGCTCAAAGTGTTGAACGGTTCAGGACCATGTTGGACAATTTTTATGGTGGTAGAAAATTCTTTTAGCGTTTGCCGATTTAATTTCTATCATTCATTTTATTTATTTTTTTGTTTATTTAAACTTGTATTCATTGTGCGTATATATGTTTGTGTCTGTGGATGTATCCATCTTTTACACTTGTCCTCTTGATTGTGTTTCTTGAACGTTTGCCTGTTATACATTGTCTACTAATTGTTTTATTTCTATGTCTTACTTTCCTTATTTCAGTGCATTACGGGTTCCTTACTTTTTATTGTTTTCATCAACAACCTGCCAAATTCTTCAAAAATTTTCGACGACATTTGCTTTGCAGATGACACAAATATTTATAGTAATGGTAAAAACATTAGTGAACTGATCGTTGACACAAACAAGGAAATTGGACATGCTGCCAACTGGTTTCAAAATAACAAATTAACCTACATTACATTAAATGCTGAAACAAAATTACTAACCGGACTGAGCAAACAAAGAAATATTCGCGCGTGTTTGTCACTGGCAAATAAGCAAATAAAAGCTTTGAGAAAAATTTGTACCAAACTATTTACTTACAATATGCTGTTATATATATAAATAAATATAAATATATATATATATATATATATATGTGTGTGTGTGTGTGTGTGTGTGTGTGTGTGTGTGTGTGTGTGTATGTGTTGGAAGGAGACCATATTTTATACAGTATTATAAGAAAATTAATAATAATATCACGTCAACAACTGATTAATGCCAACATTTCTTTAGAATTCATACAATACCGTATATTTTATATAAATATTTTTATATATTCTTATATACATGTTCTTTTATGTATATAAATAGCGCTTAAGCATTAAGATAAGTAATTAAATATGTAAAAAATATTGTTGGCCCTCGGTTGATTTAAAATTCCGATGCATTGTAGTTAAGTGTATCGTGTTCGTTGCTTGTTTATTTTCAATTGATATTGTCATGGTTTTTAATGTTGTTTTTGGGTTTATTATTAATATTATTTTTCATTATATTTATGTTGTTATTACTGTTGTATTGTTGTCATTAATAAAGTTGTTGTTGCTGATTGTTAATTTTTGCCTTGGAAGTGTGTGCGTGTGTGGTGCTTCGTCTGATATCAATCAATGGTTAAAAATACGATTCATCGATAAACAATGAATGATTCTGGTATTATTAATTCGGTGTATTATTTCTTTGTGAAAGGGCTGCTTATTATTTTCCGTGTTATTGTTGCATTGTGATTATTATTCAGTTGATTTTTTACATAACTTTGTTTATGCATATTGAGTCGCTATGTTAATAAGTCCGCATATTAATATATGATATATTGAAACTAGTTAAACGATTCTTGGAAGATTCTCTTTGAAAATGTTAAGTAACCTTCCATAGTTTCACTGAAATCCCAAACGCAATTCTTTAATTGTAGTGATTCATAAATGAAGTTGCTGAGATGTTTTGAAGAATTTTTAAAATTGATTACTTAGACGGTGGCTTGATAGCCTAATGGTTGAAGCCGTGGGGGCGTTCAGACATGACAAAAGGATGCACCCTATATCACATGCTTTGAGCGTGATACGACGTTTAACACGTTCAGACGGAACTTTTACTTTTTCAGACTAAACAAACGACATGAATTTGCTGCCTTGTAACAAAAAAATGACCTTTGAAATAACATTTTTTATGTGTCAATAATACTTCAACAATGACTTAGCGTGTGATTTAAACTGTTTGAACGTTTTAGCAACCAAAAATTACTAGCTGAAAAGAAAAGTTTCATATCGCTGGCTCTCTTGCGTCGAACATCTTTTCTTCCGTGTTGAATACGGATTTTGTTTTATTTGTCTGTTTATATAGGTTTTGAGTGACTTTGTTACTGTGTCTTCACTAAGTGAATGTGTTCGAATTCTGACTGCTTAGTCGGTTGGACTGCAGTAGCTTGTTGTTGAATATTTGTTGCTGAACGTCTTTGTTTGACAAGCAAAGATTTTGCAATCCTTAGATTGTGTGTATTGTGTGGAAAATTCACCTAGATGGCGAAATACTGAAAAACTTTATTGCAAGTTGAACAACCCATGCAATGCCGTGATATCTTGAAACACCTGCATATATTACATATATATGTAAAGAATATATGATAGTAACAAAGTAATGTTCATTTAATAATGTAACGATCGTTTATCACGATATATTAATGTGCAGTTTTTTTAATGAAGCGTTTTAGTGGAGAAGAGAGTTGGATTGACAGGCGCAATGACAGGCGAGGCCTGCCTGCAAATGCATTCATTTCTTCAACCCACCGTAGAATAACTTTTTTAAATAAAATTTTGATTCACAGAATCATTTTTAATTCATTTAAATGTGCATTTATGTTATTCGAGGCCTAAATTATGGATTGCCTGGCTTTGTAAACGATCAGACAACATGAATCAGTTTTCACTGGCTTTCTTATTTAAGTTTTTAACAGCACATACAACTTATTTTTTGTCAATTATTTTTCAATCTATTTCCATAATAGCTTATACCATTCACAAAACAAAATACTTGTTAAATTCATATTCCGGCTGATGTCACCTATCCATAAACACACAACTTTACACATTCATCAGCTTTCTAATCAATTCACTCCATGTGTGAGATGAAGTGATTGTCAAATGGGTGAATAAAAAAACTGACATACCTAACTAACATCATCAATGCCTATAACGAAATTATTATATTACTATGTTAAGGGAAAAAATATTCAATAAATTCTTAATAATATATGTATTTATATGTATGTATTTTATTCATATTGTTTAAAATGATATACATTTTGCTGAACGTGCACATTGCACGGCGCCTAATATTTCGCGAATGAGTTTTCCAATTTAACTAAAAATACATTTTTTCCTATAAATTAAAAAAAATCATTAACTTTTTAAAATTTCGATCTGTACAGTTTTATGGCATTCCATTTTATTCATACGATTTTTCAAAAAATATTTTCAACGAATTTTTTCAATGCATTTTGATTTATTACCATTCTGATATTTTTAACAGTCAGGTGCGCTGCTCCATTCAACTTCGTGCCCATCCACGCGGAATATATATAGGTAGTGAATTGCAAAATTATTTTCAACAATTACATGGAACAATTACTGATACAATCTACAAATAATGATCCTTATAAATTCCGTGAATGAATAAATGATTAAGAAGATACAATGATACGCCTTGATTGATGGTTGGCTAATTGAAAGGATGAATGAAGGGAGACAAAAATAAAGTTGTTCTGTGGATTTCACTATAGACAAATTTAATTTTTAAATCGTAAATAATAAAAAGCACCATGAGACAAAACTTGTAGTAGTAGTTTTCTGTTTTTTGCTAAAATTGTTGTAAAGGGAGAATTAGTGAGAAGTGTTTTTTTTACAAAAAGGAAACCGACCCGCAACGTTTTTGAAAAAACAGTGTTGATGGTTTATG